GCCACTATTGTTCAGAGCCATATATAAGCACACGCCATGTTCTTGGCCATGCTTTTTGCCACTGCTGTATCACCCCCAACAATAAAGAATGCATCTCACCTGCCCGCTGCCACTCACCTTTTCTTCTAATTTCTGAAACCTGTGCCGGAGCACGTGCTAGCCACAGACCATGCTCCTCACACTTGGTGTGGTCAGCAGGATCCAGACGGTTAGGTGTCCCCTCCACCCCAGCAGGGGAGGACATGTGTCCTCCTATGGGCTTGTGGCAGCAGTCCTCATGTCATGGGCCCCGTCACGGGGTGGGAGCAGGTGGAACGTACCCCTGCCACTCTGGAAAAGGCCCTGAAGGCCTTGCAGGAGTCTCTGCGGCCTAGGGAGCGAGCAGCAGCTGGTCGGGTGGGCTGGCTCTTCCTTGTAGGCCTCCAGGAGCAGCATAAGGACACCCTGCAGCAAGAAGCCCAGGTAAGGGAGTCATAAGAGATAGAGGAAATTTGGAAGCCCACCAGCAGGAGTTGGAGAAAGAGTTAACAAGTGGTCTGACCTTGGATGCTGAGGAAACTGCAAGTTTGCAGGAGACTGAGGGCGCCCCCCCCCCCTGCTGAGAGCCCGCCTGGTTGTAAAATAGAGAATGGAGCATGCGCAGCCCATGAGGGCTGGGGGCTGGAGGATGGGGGGGGTGCAGGGCGTGCCTACAATAAGCGTATCTCTTACCCTGCCCACACCCCAGCGGAGCTGCGGGAGCTGGGAAACAGTGCTGGCAGCGTCCTGAGGAGACCGTGCCTGCCTGGTTGTTGCGCTTATGGGACGAAGGGACGGACAGCGTCCTGTGCTCCCAAGGGAGATGGAGCAATTGGCATCCACGACTAGACACCCTTCCCCGAGGTAGAGGCTACAGACAAGTGGTCGCCGTGGCGAGGGTGCCCACTCCTTGCTTGAATGGCTTATGGCTGCCCCCCACACAGTATGGGATGACGCCGGAGAACTACCCGAAACTGTAAGTGGACTTCACACATGGACTTAATTTAGACTCTTCTGGAGTTGGGACTGTGCCAAGCCATTTTTGCAGTAGATAACTGATGGGGGCTGATGAGTAGCACTTTACTACACATATGTGCAACCCAATCTTAGCCACAGTGCCCCCTGGTTTGTTTGGCTGGTTGGCAGCTGCGCTCACTTCCTACGCCAGGAAGCGGACACTTGAGGTCACCACGGCCATGGAAGCTCTGGGAGACTTTCCATCTGAAGAATGGAAAGGGGAGAAGGGACAAGTATGTATGCTACAAGGACCCAAGAAGAGCCCGAGAGCTCAGGGCCCCTGCAGAAGAAAGCAGTACAAGAGGCCCAGAAGGTGTCTCAAACCCAGATGTGGCTTGACCTCCCACTAACAGGAGTAGACAAAGAGAAGATAGATAAACAGCCTCACGAGGGATTGCTGGCTTTGTGGAATCAGCTGGCTCCCCACCAGCAGTTCGTGAAAGCACCCAAGAGGTGGGGAGCTGGGACACCCACCAAAGAGACCCACAATGTGCAGCTGCAAGATTTTATGGTTGAAACCTGCCTTTTTGACATAGACTAGGGATTAGGCCAAGGCACCCAGTTAGAGGGGACCCTGGATGACCAGAGTCCACAGGTGGAGCTTGCTATTCCTTGGTCCCCTACAGATGTGCGGCAGGCTTCGGCCTTGGTGGACACGGGAGCCGACTGCTCCCTAACCTATGGAACCCTGAGCAGTTTGCTGGACAGATAGCCCTCATGGATGGTTATGTGGGCAAACTATGTTGAAGCTAAGCAAGTGACTATTCCATTGGGGATAGGACAGTTGGCCCCCAGGCCTTACACTGTGTATGTGTCCCCGTGAAGGGATATATTCTGGGTGTTGACATTCTGCGTGGCTTAGCCCTTATCACCTCTGTGGGTGAGTTCTGCCTCCAAGTTAGGGTTGTGAAGCTGGTGGTGCGTGGCCACGCCCATCACCCACCACAGATTTTGCCCATACCTGATCATGTGGTACGCACCCTACAGTATCATTTGCCTGGGGGTACAAAGAAATTTCACAACCCATATTGCAGTTGGAAAAGGCCAGCATAATGTGCCCAGTTCATAATCCATTCAACTCTCCTATTTGGCCTGTTAAGAAACCGGATGGAACTTGGAGAATGACAGTGGACTACCGGGAGCTGAGTAAGTCCCCCACTGCATGCCGCGGTGCCATCTATGCTAGATCTGATGGAGCAACTGACTTTGGTGCTTGGACGGTACCACTGTGTAGTGGACCTGGCCAACGGCTTTTTCTCCACAGACATAGCTATGGACAGTCAAGACCAGTTTGCCTTCATGTGGGAAGGATGACAGTGGACATTTGTGGTGTTACCACAAGGTCACCTCCACAGCCCAGCCATATGTCATGGTTTGGTGGCACAGGATTTGGCCACATGGAGTGTGCCATTCTCAGTGTTTCTGTTTCACTATATTGATTGATATAATGTTAACTTCTGATTCCCTTACAGATCTAGAAGAAGCCACCACCAGTCTTCGAACCTCATTGGAACGATGGGGTTGGGTGGTGAATTACTCCAAGGTCCAGGGATCTGGATTGTCAGTCAAATTCTTGGGTGTTGTCTGCTTGGGTAAGACAAGAACAATCCCCAAGGCCTTTATAGATATTCAAGCTTTCCCATGACCCTCTATGGTGAAACAGGTACAAGTGTTTGTGAGGCTTCTGGGTTATTGGTGTATATTTATACCCTACTTGGCCCAACTGTTGCAGCCATTGCATTCATTGTGTACAGAGGGGGCACAGTGGGTCTGGTCCCCAGAGGCAGAAGCCTCTTTTATGGTAGCCAAGAGGGCTGTTGCACAGGCCCAGATGCTACAAGTAGTAGACTGTTCACAGCCATTTGACCTCGCTGTGATAGTCAACTCAAGTGGGATGGGCTGGGGTATGTGGCAAAGCCAGCATAAGCTGCGGGTTCCTATTGGGTTTTGGTCCCAGACTTGGAAGGGCCCCCAGGAGTGCTATTCCTTGGTGGAAAAGCAGCTGGTGGCTGTGTCTGCTGCCCTCCAGGCCTGTGAAGCTATAACTGGGCAGTCTAAGGTGATAGTGCACACCACATACCCCATAGCAGGATGGGTGAGGTCATGAATAACCAGCCCACGATCAGGGGTAGCCCAGACACCCGCTCTGGTGAGGAGGGGAGCTTACTTGGAGCAATAAGTAGAGTTCAGCTCCAACCCTTTAACTGCAGAGTTGTAGACAGTACTGGGTCCTGTTGAATTTGTGTCTGAAGCTGACCCTCAGACCATGGTAATAGCTAGGGAAGACAGCCCAAACCTTAAAGGACAGGGTCCCCCTCCAGTGGAGGCCTGGTATACCAATGGATGCAGTCATGAGCCCCTTAGCCCAAGGGACAGCAGTGGCCATCCAGTTGAATCATGATGAAACTTGGTTTGAAACAGGGCAGGGGCAGAGCAGCCAATGGACTGAATTGTGTGCTGTGTGGATTGTAGTCACATGCAAGCCATGCCCTTTGCATGTCTGCACTGATAACTGGGCCATGTTTAAGGATCTCACTGTCTGGTTACCTACATGAAAAGCCCAAGGTTGGCCAGTAGGGCACTGCCCAGTATGGGTGGCTTTATCTTCCCACTCATTCAACGGGAAGGTCCACTTGAGGTGCACATGGGCACGACCATGTCCCGGGGAAGGTCCTCCCCACCTTTACTGAAAGGCCACATAACTGGGATGCTGTGTTCTCCTGCTGGCACTGGGTGAAACGGACTCCACGCTCATTCTGCCTGGCAGCTATCTTTTCCCCTGGGGGTGGAGCCATTAAGGTATGAATGCCCTAGCGGAGCTACTGCTTGGGCCCTGACTCAAACCCAGCAGGCCTTGACCTTCAGGTGGGTGAAGTCACGGATGTGAGGAACATGGTTTTGAAAAACTACATGGCCCTTGATCTCCACACTGCAGCTCAAGGAGGCACATGCACTGAATATTGTGTATATATACCTGATCACCAGAATATTTCCTCCACATTGAAGGAAGTTGATGGGGAGGTACAGGCCATCCAACAGACAACTGGAGACCCACTACAGCAATGGTGGGAACGTCTCTCATCCTCCCGGCGTTGGACCCTTTTAGTGGTAGGAGCTACTGGCTGTGGTCTGGTAATACTGTGTTGTTCCCTGTATTGTTGTGGCCTTTGTAGCCAAGGGCCTCCCTATGGGCCTGTGTCTTGGTGGAGAAACCTATTACCTAGGAGGTGGAATGCAAGGGGAACTGCATTTGTATAGGCAACAGGTTTCTTAGGCCACACTAAGATGACTGCGCAGTGTTTTTTCCGGCCCGGCCCCCTCAGTTAGCTGGTCTTCTGCGGAGGCGTGAGTCAGCACACTCATGTAACCAAGGTGTTATCTCCTGTGTGAACCCACGTGATTATGCTTTCCCGTGGCATGTTGCCACTATTGTTCGGAGCCATACATAAGCACTCGCCATGTTCTCGGACATGCTTTTTGCCTCTGCTGTATCCCCCCGACAATAAAGAGCATGTCTCACCTGCCTGCTGCCACTCGCCTTTTCTTCCAATTTCCAAAGCCTGTGCCGGAGCATGCGCTAGCCACAGACCATCCTCCTCACAGTAGCTTGCAGTACTCTCTTTTATCCCAAAGGAAATGATGTAGTGATTTTATTAACAAGGGTGGGGACAAAATATGAATCACTGGTCTAATCACGTGTTACAACAGGAGAAACATTCAAGTCGGGTCAACACCCTACCCCATTCATGTCTATGGTGGCAAAAAGGCAACACGAGGGTCGTGCTCTGCTAACATTCAAATGTCAAACAGATTTACTTATTAGAGCTCTTTGGGGAATGAAAAGTTATGTGTCAGTACATAAAGGTTAGCAAACTGAAATTTGGGGATGTTTGTAGTCTTTGGATCTGAGTAGGCAACAAAGGGTTGGCTTTCAGGGGAAAAAATGCAAAAATAAAAAACTCATAAAACAGATTCTAAAACTTCAGGTTTGGTGGGGAAAGAACTGTGAGAGAAGTTAGAGTCAGAAAATGAACAAATAAATAGACTGAGAAACACTTTAAAACACTTGTCCTGAAGGGGATGGTACCGCCCCCTAGAGGCAGTTTTGGAAATGGGAGAGCATGGGAGGTGCCAATGACAGGCGGCCACCGCTTGCATTTATCTGTGGGAGCACCCATGCTATACAGCTCCTGCAGACTGGACCCCTCACTGCAAAGAGCTGTCTCCTGTCAGCGCAACTTTGAATCGCCCCACCAAATGTTCGTGTAGATGGAAACCCCGTTTACAATCATGAATCTATAATTTCATTTTACATATAAACACTCAGGGAATTTTTAGCCCAGTTTTAATATGCTTTGGATTTATCAGGAATGTAGTTAGAGGATTCTATAAATGGAAGGAAGCCTGTACAGCAAAGTGATTATGAGCAAGGATGCCAGAGACGCGCTGTTTAAGCTTCATCGCAGCTCTGCCATTATTAGTAGACAGCTAGGGCAGCTAGCAGATGACTTGCTCATATGTAAAATGGGAACACTACCACTCTCTCATGAAGTTGTTAGGAAAGTATTGAGAACAATGCCAGCCACACAGCAAGCACTACATGAGCAAAACCATTATAAACTCCGGTTTTGCCTAGAACCTTGTCAAGAATGGACCACATTCTAGTAAACCATATTTCTGACATCAATCCCATCCCTGGCATTGAATTGCCAAGGTAGCAGGCCTATATTGGTCTGCATTGATAACTGCCATGTTCACAGTGATTTTTTTATATATTTATATTTATACACACAAAGTATGTGCCTTATTTCATTATCTCATTACATCTTATAATATAATCATGCCAGAGCATTTACATATTAAAATAATTATTTCATTATAAAATCTTTATATTTGTTTATATTTCAGTTAGGACATCATATTGATATGCATGTTTAGAGGCCAGATATATTACCTCTTAGTTCCATTTCAAAATACTAAATGAGGTGATGCTTTTATGTGTGAAGGTAAGTTTTATCATCCATGATTTCCATTTGATTACATAAAGTGGTGTTATAAAATATTTACTATAAAAAGGGGTGGGTGTTGAGTTGGGTCTGATAGAGTTAAAAAAAGAAAACACTGTTTTAAAGTATCATGTCAAAAAGTATCATCCTGCATCTTCATATGTAAACACACGTCCACCATCTAACCTGGATTACTGCTGAGGCAAGGCGGTTTCTATTAATTTCTAAGAAATCCATATCAAACTATCGTTTACATATTTCAATAGGAAAGGTTTACAAACTCTTTTTTTTTTTTATTATCAGCAATACATCGTTCAAACCCAATTCAGGAGAAAAACCCCAAATAAAAATAAAAATGAAGCTGAGGAGGCTGACTGAAGGTAGAGAACCCCAGAAACTTCTCTGGCCGCCCCTCAGGCCTCAGGGAACAGAGGCTGAAGGGCGCCCATCTGGTTGGGCACTGCCTACAGGGAAGACTGACTTCTGAAGATGCATTTGAGGATGGCTATTCAATTCACAAGTGGCATTTTCTCCACACACACAAAAAGGGGCTAACCTGCCAGCTAAGGCCTCCGCAGCCATTGAACTCATTACACAGCAGACCTACAGCGCAAGGGTCTTCCCAGACTTCCTGGGGGCGAGAGGAAGTGCTGCCACCCGACTTCCCAGGCAAAGCACCAGCTCCAGCCCCTAGCAGGATGGGCAGGGCTGGCTCCCCTCATCACCAGTGCCCCACGCTAGACCTCCTCCCCCACTCCCCACCCTGACAGCGCGCGCCAAGCACCTGGTGGACCACACACGCCAGGCTTCTTCTGTCCAGACATCCTTAGAGCTCCCATGAAACACCCAGACCTTCGCTGCAGTTCCCTTAGACTGACAGGAAAACAGCCTGGCTGAACTCAGTCATGCTAACAGAGGAGTGTTTGCTAGCTCCTTTAACCCCACTAGAAGCATTTTAAAGGAAGACGTTTCCTAACACCAGTGACTCTCTCATGGGTTGAACTCCAGGTAGTTCGGCAAACTGTAGTCAACAATTCCAGCCGTGTGAGAGACAGTGTTTTGGAGTAGAGGATACTGCCTCTGCCCAGGAATATACCTTGAAAAATTCCCCTCATGTAACTGTACTTTACACACACTTCTCCTCCTCCTCCATTTCTAATCCAAGAAAACCCAAAATGCCTGGGAGGGTTCGTTTCGTTTTGTGACAACAGTGCCCTGCTCACAACAGCCATGGTGGTCGCGTGCTAATCTGAAAACACCCTGAATGCTTTTTTTCATCAGCTTTGTGTATGACGCAAAACAGAAATATTTCAATTACATGTGACTAAGAGTAAGAAAAATATACAACTATATTTAAAACACTTAAATTAACAAGATAGTACTTTTCCATTCTAACAAAATATCATACATTCAGTTTAAACAAGAGTTAATATCCAGACACACTTTTTCAAAATACCTGATGTTAGTTGAAAATTAGTGACCACAAGGCTTTCCAAGATATTTCTAATTAGCAAAATATGTACAATTTTAAAGAATTGTACATTCTTTTCTGGAAGATAGACATTGAACAGGTCAAAATGCAAACTGATGTCTCTCTCATAAACCTAAATCTCGTTGCTTCACTTTTCTGAATGATACTTTGGCTGTCAGCAAATCTTATTGCTTCTTTCCCTTAAAGACAATAATATATAACAACAACAACGGCACCCCTCAGGAATAACCATAAACCTCTTTGTGTGTAATAAGCTCTATCAAAACATGTTCACGTGTTTCTGTGTTAACTGACCTATACTGAGACTGTTATGAAGAAGGGAATTAATCAAGTGTAACAGATCTGCACTTAAACCTCTCCTCTGAAAGAGCATCAGATACTTGTCACATGTTATTTCAAAGTCAAAGCTGCTACACTTACAAATATGGCATATAGCCATAAAAATCAAAACAAAGATGTCTCCTCCACTGGCTTTTTCAGGTAAAGACGTTGGACCACAAACCAACATATTTGTATGACAAGAGCCTCCAATTTTAGTCCCCCCTTCCCCCAAAAAGAACAATGCCACCAGTTCCTCACAATGACCATAACGTTTCTGGCCATGAGTCCAATTTACAGAGCGTGTCTCCATGTTCTGTCTCTGGGGAAGCAAGAGGATAAGGCTCTACCCATTTCCCTCCTGCGCCCCGACAAGCCAGCACCCTAAGATCCTCTGCATGTGTTCCCATCTCATTATTTCAAACTTCCAAGATGGGCAGTATACAACTTTCCAAAAAAAAAAAAAAAACCAACGCATTCCATAATACTGTGGATGAAATCAGAAGAGTGTGTCCGCTGCGGACGCAAGGCACTTGGGAGCAGGGGCCGGGGGTCCCAGAGCAGGGCAGCTCTCAGTGAGTCAACAGTTTCAGGCGAGTAAACCAGCTGACCAACAGGGACGGTTCTGTGGACGAGGACTTTGAGGCCGAGGAGACAGCTTTCTTTTTGGTCCCTTCCTCCTGGAACGGAATGGTGGCGCTGCTGTGGAGATCTGAGTTGATGTAGCACCTGCTCCCTCGGATGTAGTCGGCACCGCGGACCAGGTGCCGCTCCGTCGTGGGTCTGGAGAACCGGTACGGGGCGGAGGAGCTCTCTTCGATGATGGGAGGAATCCGCTCGTTACTGAAATAGCGGCAAAGGGCATCTTCCCCTGTTTTCAGACAAAGCCCATTAAAATCACAATCACAATCCGCTGCACCATGGTGCTTTTGGGGGGTAGGGGAGCCATTGGCTGGCCTAGGCTTCTGCCTCCACTCTCAGGTGGGCACCGTGCCCTGCTTTCCAACCTGGATGGGCTACGAGGCCTCGCTAAGCCCACCCCATGGGTGTTCAGAAAGCAGAAATGGAAGAGGTCCCTCGTGCTTTAGGTTATATTAGCCCCTAAGAGGTAACACACGGGCAGAGCAGACTCAGAGAGCCTGTACTTCTTAACTGGTGTAAGAATTTTCATAATTTCACTTGAGATCATGAAACAATGACAGCAAGGTCACATGATTCCCATCTGTCCTTGCTCATGCCTGCGGCAGCCAGCACAAGGTACACTGTCACCCGGAATAAAGGGTGACTCTCCTTCAGCATGCCTCCATCAAAGATTGTAATGCCCTGCAGTGCTTGCGACATTCCTGAACACGGAAGAATGAGCCTTCCCTAAATGCCAGTAGACCCCCTAGGATAGGGGGATGTTTAAGAAACTGACTAGAAACTGAAAATTCAGGATACTTTGGCAGCATGTATTATTGTTTTGACCCAGAAATTCTACTGCCCAAAATGTGCAGAGATCTATGTATATGAATGCTTGCAGAAAAATTTATAATTGGGGGGAATAAAAGCAAATAACTTAAATTTCCAACAGTAGCAGACTAAATAGGTGCTACAGCCATAAGACAGACTATTAATGCAACTATATAAAATACATGGTCTAGATAATATTCACTTTACATAATATTATTGAACATCTATTTCTTCTATTCTGCACATTTTTCTAATTGTATAAATGTAAATATACGAACAAACAGAAACCACACAAAACATTAACAATTATTATTTCTAGGTTAGGGAAGCAGATTCCGGGTAAGTTTTACTTTCTCATGCCTTCTAGATGTTTTTCAATGTGCTTGTTTTGCTTTTGTGATCAAAAAGGGGAAAGCCACTTTTAAAAGGTACCCATTGTCAAAAATCCACAAATTTGTATACATCTATTTATATGAAATGTCCAAAATAGGCAAATCCACAGACACAAAGTAGATCCGTGACTGTCGGGGGCTGGGGAAGGAGGGAATTGGAAGTGACTGCTGAAAGATACCGGGTGTCTTTCTGGCGTGGTGAAAATGTTCTGGATTTAGTTAGTGGGGATTGATGCACAACTCTGTGAATATACTAAAAACCACCTAATTGTACACTTTAGAAGGGTGAACTTTATGCTGAGTTATATCCCAATAAAGCTGTTATTTTTTTTTAAGTGGCCAAGTGCAGATAGATATCTTTTATTCTAAAACAATCATGCAAGAAATTTGTGGAAGGATGAGTGGGGTAGGGCACGTAATTTTCCATTTCCTAATGTCACACTCCTCAACCCCCATGTTTCCTCTCTCAATATATAAAAGAAATAAAAGGCTAAATCTAGGTTCATGAGAATGGCAATGAGGATGCTAACATTTCTAAATCTAAACAAAGGACAGCCCTGCCACCTGCTGACTGCTCCACGGATATTCACATGTTAATAACTAAGGGTATCTTGAACCATACATAGGCACTTTGTCCCTTTGTCACTTCAGCATAATCCAGGTGACATGGGTACTTAAGTGACAAACTTTGCCAAGTCCCTAGTAGTTGTCAGGGGCTGATCCCTTTGCAAGGTTAGGCCTCCAGAATTTTTTTTCTTCTTCCTTTTACTATCTGAAGCCTAACGTACTTTAACTTTTCACCTGCTCTTTGTTTCAACACTGCAAAAACAATATTGTCATGCTTTGCCAATGTTAATAATCAAGCGTCATCTAGCAAAAAAAAAAACAAAAAAGAATGTTTTCAAACATTTCCCTCAACACTAGTGTAACAACCAGTAACTTTGATTACAGGGTGAATTAAACACAAATTTCTTTTCAAATAGTAATTACTCTCTAACACAAGAAGGATCCGAAAGAAAAGAAAAAAAAATCCATGTTTGCTCATCTGAAATCAAACAGACTCCAATAATCATAGTCATAAAATGTAGGATAAGATTGTTTAATGAAGAATTTATTTCTCCTTGTTTAAAAAGTAGACCATTCGTGTCTACAACCCTTTTATAACACACAGTGCCAACTAGGAGATTTACAGTCACTAACGAGGATTATGTAATTTTGCCATTCTAGAAATAAGTAGGATCTGAGAGACCTTCCTTCAGCCATCCTGATTTTATAGATGAGAAAATGGGACCCAGCGACATTACGTACTCTATCTAGTTAATACAACACATTTAGGAAAAGAACTGAAATGAAGGCCTGGGTCCTCTGACTCCCCGTTTGGGGCCTTTGGGTTTGCTGAGATTAGACTCACCTTTCCTGCCGTGACCTCGCGGTCTGGCGAAAGGGTCCACGATGCCCATCCAGTTCCCATCCGCAGGCATGGACAAGGGCCGGGGCTTCCCTTCACAAGGACGAAAAGGAAGATGGCAAGGTTGACGAGTTTGGGGACTTTAGAGAATCGTTCCCTTTATTTGTGACTCAGACCCCACAATAGCATACCCACTTAAGTGGAAGCAATAAAGAAATTTTTCAAATAAGCCAAGTATTTGAAAGCACTGTATTTCCACAGCAAGCAGTTAGGACAGAGGTGTGCTAAACTTGGGTCTGCCTCTAGCAGCTCCGAAGTTAAAACCCCAGACACTGAAAGTTAAAACTGTAATATGATCTCACTCAGCCGGGCTTTGATGCCAGGCGGGGCGATGACTCAACAAGGCTTCGCTTTAGAGAGATGAATAAAGGTCTCATACTTAGAATTTCATTGAGGTTTATGTTTTCCTCAGATTACCCCTTGAAGTCTGCCAAATTCATCCAACAGCTCCAAATAAGGAAGGGGGTGGGGAAGAGAAGTAAAAGCCAACTGCAGAACAAAACAAACACTCGGGAAACTTACCATAAGATGGTGTTTTCTCTCTCATTTTTGTGGGCAGAATATTGGTTTCTACTGAATACCCGGGCAACTGATCGGAATCAGCGATGGTGAACCTTCGTCTCCGGCTCTCCTGGTCCAAGAAGGAATTCGGGGACTCTGAACCCTTAGGACCAGGCAGTGGTTGTTTACACTTACTGAATCCTCCATAAACAAAACTCCCATTCTCATCCCTGGAAGATAATGTGCAGTAATTAAGTTACTTACAAAGATTCTCTCATCCTGAGGAAATTATAGGAATCATGCTACCTCTAGCACACACTGAGAAAATTTAAATTCTCCTTTGCCCCTGGAGGAAAAAGCATTCCTTTTTTCAACCCCAGTTGCCCCTCATATGCATACAGATCTTATTAAATAAGAGTAAATATCATGATCCTATTAAAGAAGAGTAAGTGTAATTTTTTTTCACACATGTCTAAACAAATAATAGCTTTGAGAAAAAAGCTCTAGTTTTTCTGTGTTTCTCTCCTATAGTTTGAATCTCCTGTGTACTACAGCAATCACACAGTAAGGTATGATCTATTGAACCATTTTTCTCATGCTAAGAGTAGTATCTTTGCCAAGATCCAGCAAAAAAGACTCTTGATGTACAATTAAGTTGTTAGATTTGAAAATTATGTTAAAAAACACAAAGGAGCCTTGATAGTAACCAATGCAGAGTGACTCTTTTAGGAACTAAATACTACAGAAATCAGCAAAAGTGGGATCACCAATTCCATCCTAATTCTGTCAGTTAACAATAAAATTTAAAATTAAATTTGGCTGAGTCCAAGCGCCAGCTGGCTAAACTATTTGCATTTAATAAATTCCATTAGACGATCAATACAGAAACTACTAGACAAAATACAGAATCGATGGAGTCCCAAAGCAATCTAATGATCAGCCTTGCCCGTGTGTGGTATTCCCAGGTGGGCCTGGCACTCCGCCTACCCCTCCCACCCAAGAATCTATCTCCTTCCACACCTTTAAACCTAGCATATAATTCCCCCATTCACAAAGCTTCCATGACTCACTGCTCATTTCTCTGTAACTCGTTTGCATTTTTTATTCCTCAGAAAATATCCTTCATTAGTGGTGTGTGTGTGTGTGTGTGTGTGTGTGTGTGTGTGTGTACGTGCACAAGCTCTCAAGAGTGACTCCCCCAGTTAGTTTAATCTAGTCCCTCACTACCTACATAAAACCCTTCTCTTGCCACTACTCCAGTGATCTCTCACGGAGGCCTAGACAACAGTATTTCAGGTCAGGAGAGGGCATCTCCCTACCGTTTCTGACAGAACCATCCACACGTCAGTGGTTAGTAAAACTCTGTGCTCTCCATGTGCACGGGCAACAACTAGCTGCAGCTTCAAACACACTTAAGATCCGGTGACCCAGAATGGCCTGGCCACTTGAGGGGAATTCTCTCCATGCTGTAATAAGTTCTGAGTAAAGTGAGACTCAGGGAGAGGAAGACGACCCTCTCTGAACCCAACACAGAAGAAACACAATGGAAGCAAATAGCTCAGCCTCAAGCAAAAACTAATGAAAAACTCCAACGTGAAGTAAAATGTCACTGTAATAAATTCAGCCTGAATTTTGTTCCATCAAATAGTATAGCACAATTATGTATTTCTCAATTTCTTCTTCAATAGTCGAATCAAAACACCGGAAGTCCTCTAGGAGCAAGTGTGTTTTGTGTCAGATGGCAACTGAGGCTCAACACTCCGGAAATACATGCTGAATAAATGAGCCGGGTTCTCTAGTTTTATCAGCATACGTCAATATGCAAACTGAAAAAAAAACAAGCCTAGATCACACCTAAATCGTCTCCTACCCTTTATATATCACCCTCATTAAACCACATGGCATTTAAGACAGCCATTAAAAAAGCAACTATCTTGAAGACTTTGTAATACACACTCACACATAAATATGAAACATCCATGCCTACACTCACCTGGGGTGTTTTTAAGTTCTATGAGAAACACACCTTTCTCAACAAAATCAAGCTGTAACTTTAATTAGTCTCACAGAAGTATTTTATGATCTTCCTTCAAGGAATCAATTTAAAAGATGAATTTACCAGGGAGTTAATGAAACTTAAGCTGCAGGGTCCCGAAAACAGACCCTTCCAAGGCCTTAGGAGCAGGATATGCTTTTGTAAATTTTTCAAAAGTAAGATATTTCTGAATTCTTTTCTTAAAGGGCCCCCTTCTCACCAAATTGTATAGCTTCAAGCCCCATAAAACCTAGATTCCCCATAAAACACCAACATTCCTGTATAGTAAGGCTGATCACACTTTTTTTATTGCACTCTCTTTTTTTTTTAGAAATAATATAAATTTCTTTTTTATTTTTAATTATTATGGATACATAATATTATAGCTGTATATCTTTACAGTGCACAAGTGATATTTTGATATAGTCATACAATGTGAATTAATCAAATCAGGGCAATTGAGGTATGCATCACACCTCAGGTATTTATCCTTTCTTTGTGTTAGGAACATTCCAATTCTAGTCTTGTAGTGACTTTAAAGTCTACCCTAACTTATTGTTGATTATAGTCACTTCGTTGTGCCGTCAAATATTGTTCATTCCGTCTAACCGTGTTTTTGCACTCCCCACTTTTTAATTTTTTTTGAGACAGAGTCTCACTGTGTTGCCCCAGCTAGAGTGAGTGCCGTGGCATCAGCCTAGCTCACAGCAACCTCAAACTCCTGGGCTCAAGTGATCCTCCTGCCTCAGTCTCCCAAGTAGCTGGGACTACAGGCATGCGCCATCATGCCCGACTAATTTGTATATATATAAATATATATTAATATATAATATACATTATATATAATATATATATTATATATCAGTTGACCAATTAATTTCTTTTTATTTATAGTAGAGACGGGGTCTCGCTCTTGCTCAGGCTGGTTTTGAACTGACCTTGAGCAATCCACCCACCTCGGCCTCCCAGACTGCTAGGATTACAGGTGTGAGCCACCACGCCCGGCCCATCCCCACTTTTTAATGGCAGTTTCAAGATGCAGCCCTGCCACAGCGTAGTCAGCAGCTTCCTCTCTCAAGACCCTCCGTGGTCTTTACACCGCCACCTAGAATCCACACCGGCGGGAGCCGAGGATCTGAACGTACCGGGGCGAGTAGGGCACGGCCGGCGGGGGAGGGATGTACAGGTCCAGGATGGCCGGCTTCTCCTTCCGCAGCAAGGTGTCCATCGTGCTTTCTGGGGACTGGCTGGTCGTGGGCGGAGGCGAGGTCTGGAACAGGAGCCACGCAGGGCATACAAAAGGGCAGAGGTCAACTCGGAGATGATTCTCCGGACTCCTTCCCCTCCCCCAAACCAACACCAGCCTTGCGTGTGAACAGGGGCTGCAGGTGCTTATAGCTGAACTATTTCACTTCTATTCTTCTTTGAAATGCTCAGAATGAGCTGAGAGTTTTGAAAGACTGGACACATGGTGGTGAGAAGCAGAGCCTCAGGAGCCAGGGCTGTAATTCTGTCTCTGAGCAAATCATAGAAACACCAGTGCCTCAGTTTCCCCTTCTGTGACACTGACAGTACCTCTCGCATAGAGGTGCAGTGAGGATTAGATGAGTTAGTTCATGAGAATCACTAGCAATGCTACGACTGACTGCGTGTGGCCTTGGAACTCGGGTGTAATCCCGGTTAGACTTCTCATTGGCTGTGTATCACTGAGCAAATACTCAACTTCCCTGTGCCTCATTTATAAAATGAGAATAAATAGGGACAAGAATAGTACCAACACAGTGTACCTGTGAGAATTAAGTGAGATAACGCGCGTAAAGGCCTTAGGACACTGCTTTCATGTAGTAAGCACACAGCCTTATACCGTCTAATTTTGTGCTGTATGTATATATACATATACACACACACACACATATTAATATATACACATACATACAAGTCAGTTTTAAATATTTAAAATCCATATAGCTTAATTTTAATTATGTTACGGGTCTCAAAGGCCTTGGTTTTTACAATCTTGTGTGAGACGCTCAATTTTATCTTTTCTATAGTCTAACGGTGACAACAATGATAAACTTTCTCTGGGTGGTAAAGAAACAGCAAGAAAATCTTAGTGTCAAGGCATGAAACGTTTGGTGAAGGCGAGAACAGTGCTAGGCCCTGGTGGACATAAGAAGCCACCTGTAACCCCAGGTTGTGTAGGAAGCTCTCCCAGAGGTGAGACCAGGCACTGAGCTCCAAGCACTGGGAGGACTGAACAGCTGGTGTGAAGGATCTCGGAATGACTACCAGGAGATTCACGGGGTGACAGCTCATGTTCAGGAGAGATACCGAGTCACAGAGAGACAGGAACACCTTTTCTGTGCCAGAGCAACACTAATGAAATGGAAAAGAACTGAAGGGCTCCCTACAGTGGGCTTCCAGGCAGAGAGAACACTGAAGAATAAAGCCCAGAAAAGCATCAGGGCTGAGCAAGTCCACAGAGTACTTGTCTGCTGAAGTTTACATTCTGGAAACATCCTGGGCACTTCATGAGAACACTTGATCGCTAAGCTGAAAATGGCCTCTGCCTCTTGATGACGATCATCTCCCCTTTTCCCTTGCAAACTTCGTTTTTTCCTTTTTTCTTCTTTGCTTTTTCCCCAACTTGCCCGGTTGTTGGCCTTTGGCGGGAGGTTGGGCAAACCCGGGGAATTTGGAAAGTTTTCCTTTTTCTTTTGATTTCCCGGAGTTCAGGGGCTTCTTGTTGGCTTGCTTTTAAATTTACTTTTCCCGTTTGGTCTGAACACACCCACGGGACTTTTCCTCTGTCACCTCGAATGCAGTTATGCTCAAAATACCTATCATCTCTTCCTTCCAATGGCTCTCCTGATTTTCTAATTTGTGTCACCACCCAGGTTCCCCGTCACACTGGACACCTGGCTTCTCTCCTGCCTTGCTGGCCCTCCTCACCCTTACCCCAAAACCTTTTCTAATAGTCAACACATTAATTAGGAGAGTGAGGCTTAGGAAGACTAAATGCCTTATCTAAGGCCCCACAGCTAATAAGTGGCAGAGCTGGGACTTGAACTCAAGGGGTTTGAGTCCGGGGCCACCCTCAGGCTCACTCGGCTGTGCGGCTCCGTGAGCTCCTCTGCTGCTCCCCCTACCCCCGGGGCTGTGGGGTTTTGTGTGTTTTTCTGTGTCTCCCCTCTCCCGCGCGCGGGGGCCTGTGTCCCGGGGCCTCTATATATGTGCGAGCGTCTCCTCTGTTGTTTTTGTTGTTTTTATATTGTTTTGTGGTGTGTTTTGCGCCCCCTCTTTTTGTTTTATTTTTATGTTTTCGAGCTCTCCCTGTGGTGTCCCCGCGTGTGTGTGTGTTTTTGGAGAGGGTTTTTTTATGTGTGTTTTTGTTTTAATGTGGGTGTCTCTGGGGGGGTTTTTGTCGTCTGTGTGTTTTGTCTGTGTGAGAAGAGAGTAGAACGCAGACACACACAGAGGGAAGACCACATGAAGACAGTTTCCTGTAGGGTGAAGCCCAAGCTCCTTAGCCTGGCACTCATGCCTGCCACTACACGGTCTCAGCCACCGGTCCAACTTTACCTTCTACCCTTGGCTCCCGGGAGTCTGAGCTACCCATTCCTTGTGGTAGGGGCTGTGGAGCCCACCTAGATCTCTATACTAGCCAGTACCACCCCCCAGCTGCTGGGAGGATCACAGCTCACAGCTGCCCCTTCTCTGAAGAATGGCCCTCAGCTGACAGCCGCCTCTCCCAAACAGGGCCCCCAGAGCTTGTAGCAGAGTGGTTACACCAGGATCCTTCGTCCTGTCCACCAGGCCAAGGTTAGATGGCATCCTTGCCGCCTCCCATTCCTCATTCTGCCTTCCTCCTTCCAAGTTTTACTGGAAACACACATCCTCAAAAATTGCTTTCACAAGAATCTCTGTCTCAGACTCTGTTTCTAGGAAGCCTTATCTAAGACACTGCTCTTCCTTGCTGGCAGTATAGCCATGTTTTGTGGACAAGTGTGTTTAAAGAATGCCATTCATCTCCTCTATGATACACAGCCGCATTTGCCAACCCAAACCCCACCTACCCTTCCAGGCTCCAAGATGCTCCTACTTCTTCAGGAAGAGGTGCCTTCACCCACACGGTCCACACCTATCTCTCCTTCTTTGGAAGCCAACATTTATCCCGTGCACCAATTAACTGGCAGATCTAGCATTTAGGCACTACATCAATTACCCATGAGGAATTAAGCACCTCTATGATATTAAGTATCACATTCTGAGAATTCCAAAAAATAAAAAACATGTTTAAATTTTATACCGATCAATGCGAACAGAAGCAGCTGGGGTATTATGATCAATATTCTCAGTTACAGGCAATGATTTTTGGATATAACTCCAAAAGCACAGGTAAAAAAAAAAGCAAAAACAGACAAACAGGATCATTTCAAACTAAAAAGCTTCTACACAGCAAAAACCACAATCAACAGAGTAAAGAGACAACCTACAAAATGGGAGAAAATATTTGCAAATCCACATCTGATAAGGAGATAATATTCAAAATATATAAGGAACTCAACTCAATAGCAAGAAAAGAAGTAACCTGATTAAAAGATAGACACAGGATCTGAATAGACATTTCTCAAAAGACAACATACAGATGGCCAACAGGTACATGAACGAATGTTCAACCTCACTAATTATCAGTGAAATGCAAATTAAAACCACATGAGATATCACCTCACATCCGTTAGGATGACTATTATCAAAAAGACAAAAGATAAGTGTTGGCCAGGATGTGGGGAAAACGGAATCCTTGCATGCTGTTGGTGGGAATGTAAATTAGTACAGCCATTTAGGAAAACAGTATGAAGGTTCCCTCCAAAATTAAAAATAGAACTACAGTATGATCCAGCAATCCCACTGCTGGGTATATATCTAAGGGAAATGAAATCAGTATGTTGAAGAGATATCTGCACTCCAACGTTCACTGCAGCATGATTCACAACAGCCAAGATATGCAGTCAACCTAAACGTCCAGCAACAGATAAGTGAATAAAGAAGACGTGATATACATATACACAAGGGAACACTATTCAGCTTTAGAAAAGAAGGAAATCCTGTCATTTTTGACAACATGGATGAGCCTGGAAGACATTATGTTAAATGAAATAAGCCAGACACAGAAAGACAAATACTATGCCATCTCACTTATATGAGGAATCGAAAAAAGCTAAACTCAAAGAAGCAGAGAGGAGAATGGTGGTTACTAGAGACTGAGGAGATATTGATCAACGGTATAAAGTTTCAGTTAGCCAGAAGGAACAAGGTCAAGAGATCTATTATACAACACAGTAACTACAGTTAATAATAGTGTATTGCATGCTTGAGAATTGCTAAAGCTAATGCTTACATTAATAGATTTTAACTGCTCTCATCACAAATAAATGGTAAGGATATGAGGTAATGCACATGTTAATGAGCTTGAGTTAGCCATTCCACAATATAAACATATTTCAAAACATTGTGTGTACACTATAAATATGTAAAATTTGTATCTGTTAATTTTTTTAATTTAAATATGTTATTATATAAGAAGTGACTTTAATTATACTCCCCCTTGCTCTACCCTCTGCTTTGTGTTATATATTTTTAACTCCTACATACACATGTAAGCAACATATGTAGACATTATGTCCAGGGTATCACAAAGTGTCCAAATTGATGGCTTGAGACTACTGTTCCTTCCACATGAAGATGTACAATAAAAGACAGAAATAAATCATAATCTCAATATTATAAAAGGGCATTAAAACGTTGTTGCTTTTCATTCTTGGTGTAGGAAACAAACACTAAGAACCAATGGCTTAACAAGTTTAACCAATGGCCAGTGAGCGTGGCCCACACAGGTGTAAGCAATAAAGGGGTGCAGTGTTTGAAGACAACTTAAATAATAACACTCTACTTAAAGTCAGCTTGTCTTTTATTATCACCACAGATGGGCAATTCTAAATAATGTATAAACAATGATGTGATACTACTCTCTGCTGGGTGGATCGCTCCCACCGCCCCTACCCCAGCTTTGGTAAAGCACCACTAAAGACTCAACCCCATGTGGTCTCTCCCTGGTTAGTCTTCAAACTTTATATAAGTATGTATTTGAAATGGGAGAGGAGAAGGACTAGAACGAACTCTCTACAATGATGGCAATGTCTATACCCGCACTGTCCAATATGGTGGCAACAAGCCACAGGTGAGTATTCAGCACCTGAAATGTGGCTGGTGATACTGAGGAGAAGAACTTTTAATTTAACTTAATTATTTAGTCATTTATGCCTAGTGGCTGCTCCACTGTGTACTCCTGAAATATGGATTTTCACATAAGAAGGACTATAGGATAATTATACAAAAGCTTCTGAAACCAATCACCTTCACATGTTAACCTATTTTTTTTTTTTTTTAGACAAATCGGACGGCCAGCACTGTTCGCGTGCCGAAGCTAGACACACACCTGCACAAGAGGCGGCCTCCACCGAAGGTTCTTCAGGGGGGCAGGCGTGAAGTTGAAAGAGCCCGTGGGACGCTTCTTAAGCAGCAGCACGACGCCGGTGGGATTCTCTCTCAGTTTCCTCACCAGGTTTTTTAGCTGCCATCCCACCTTCAAACGAAAAAAAGTGAGGAGGGAGGACTTTCTCGTGAATGATAAATTAAAAAACCAAACCTATGAACTTGTCTCGAGGAAATCAGACTTGTGAGAAAAAATAGGTAGACATAAATATATGCAGATGTGATATGTTCATATCAGCACTCAGTTAAAATAGCAGAAAATAAGATATAAATTGCAAATTTAAACGAAATGGCTTTACAGCTAATTAAAAGTTCTGCAGGGGAAACTTAACTCAAACTCACCACGGTTTGCCGGTTAACCTGAATGACTTCGTCACCGGCGTGAATCTTCTGGGATTTGTCCGCAGGAGACTAAACAGAAACAAAAAACTTGTCTTAATTTTTTAAACCTTCGCATCCTGTCTGTTTCCATTTCTTCTTTCTTTCTTCTGTAGGTGACTAGCATCTGAAATAAAATGTTCTCAGGAAAAATAAAACAATGCACTTTGGTCCCCTGAGACAATATAGTGTGTGGGGAACTGACATAGGACCACAGGGTTATCTATTTTATTAGTGTCTGTTATAACCCATAATCTATCAGTTAGAACAGCCTAGTTCATCTAACCTATTGGGGAGAGTGTAGACACACTGTCAAAATGATTAGCTGATAAAAGCCATTTTACATCTAAAAAAAAAACCTATGCATATCCCTATCAAAATTAATCTTGTAAAAACTGACCAACTGTTTAACTTGTAAAGATCATCATTGTAACCCTGTCATCCCGTTCCCTTTTTAGAACAAAATCTTATTTTCATTTGATCTTATTTTACATGGTATCACAATGCTATTAAAATAAAAAGTTAGTGGCAACAGAAAATTTCTTTAAAGAAAATTAATTTTTTTCATTTTCAGATTAAAGTTAAAATGAATGAGTCCTCAGTATCAAAACAAAGTCCAGACTTTGTTTCCCACAAATAATATCTTATTAATTTGCAAACACAACAAAAATATATATATAGGAATATAATCTGTCAAATATTTTGCTCATAGTATTCTTGTCCATATAAACAACCCAGAACTCTTTATGTTTAAGATATCTCATACATGTCCAAAAGAAGAAAAAAGGAAAAACTTTTGATTTCAAATTCTAATCAAAAATACCTAGGTCAGAGAATTTAATTTTGTAACTTATGTAACTGGCTGAATCTTCAAATAATTTACAACTATCAAAAGAAAAAAATAGCACCTTTGAACATGGGGAGAACAGCCACTAAACCCAAGACACACTTGCTGAATTTTCTCACTCAACTGTAGTGAGAGGCTCAACAAGAAATTAGCAAGCCCCACTAAACTGTAGAAAAATCCCCTTTGATTTTATCTAGGTCCAATGCAATGCACAGGTCACTGTGACAGTTATTTTTGAAAATATTTAACCTGTACCATGACAACCAGCCAGGGCCTCGCCTGAGAGACCAGCAACCCGGGCATCACGGAGATGGCCCATCTTGAGTCCCTTAAGTCAGTTAAAAAAAAAAAAAATTATCAAAGCTCCTTTTTGCCTCAGTGTGGCAAATGCTTAACCCATTGTTATAGACCTAACTCTGGTAATTCTGATCCCAATCAGCCCAGTCCAGTTAATCTTCTGGGCAACAGACTCATTTAAGATGAGCTTCACTTTACAAAAGATGGCCCTGAGGCCAAAAAAGTCCCTGTTTATAGATGTACAATGTTAAAAAACAAGCACCAACGTCCTGAATTGACTTCCCTTCCTAAGGCTCCTCGTGCATTCATTTCTCAAATGTCCTACCAGCTGCCTAGGAGTTGTGCTTGGCAGAGCACTGGTAAAGAGAGCTTGGTACCCAAACCCGCCCCAGTCAGTAGCTCTTGCCTATCTTCACCACGAGTCGGACTACTGTAAAACGATGCTCGCGCCGGTTTGCTGCAGAAGGGTGATGACCTGGAAAATAAGGCACCCATTCTTCAGAGGCTGATCTAAGTCCCACCTAATCCGAGGGTGGCAAGACCTTGTCCAGACTCCTGTCAAGGTCTTGCACCACATCAAAAAGAAAGAAATCAGATAAAGAATCACCAGACACTGTTAATCTGACCTTGGAATGATCCTAGCCCTCTCAAGTAACCTTCAAAGAAATGAACTGAAGGCCTCAGAATGGCCTGCTGGCACTGCTTAGGCCCAGAGTCCAAGACAGAGGAACATGGAGACAAATCACATGGGAATGCAGTGGGTATCCAGCCACTGCCACCCACCATACTATAGGCTTTAAAACATTCTGACTCTGAAGTCATAGCGACCTTAAGTGATGCCAGGAGAGCTAACCTGGAACTGGCATTTTCTATCCACCACTGGATAAAATATTCAACATTAAGTGTAAAATTTCAGATTAAGCCCTTGAGAAGCAGGCTCTTGCCTAACTTTCCACTGTCCCATCTAGAAGGCTTAGCCTAGTGTCTAGCACATTCCAGGAAATCAATAAATACAAGTTGAAAGAGTGAAGGAATAAGAGACATTTTCAAGTAGATTATCAGATAGAATAAGGCAAATTTTATTTTATTTTTTTTTTTAATTTGATCTCTAACAAGATGGAATTCCTTTTGCCAGGAACTCAAAGGAGGGGGAGGAAAACCCAAAAAGATGGCAACCACCGTTCTCTGAAATGAGTTCCACACAGTCCTAAATGGGAACACTAGGATAGACTACACCCAGGGAACCCTGAATCTGTCACCCAGTGTAATGGGTCGGGCATAAATTCGGAGAATATATCATTAATGACATTTGACATTCCATTTGATTCAAAAGCAGCTTTGTTTTGTCTCTCATTCAACTCTCATCTTTAAAAAAAAAAAAAAAAAGTGGGAGTGGGGGTTGAAACTTGATGCTTTCTGGTGCTCCACATGTTGAACCAAGATTGAGGCTGCTTCAAGAAGATAGAGTCTGGCACCACACGGGTTTGGTGAAGTCCAACAATGTCATCACCCAATTGCTAAACTGCAAAACTTCAATTCCTTAAAAACTGAAATGACATTCACCATTTCTCTGAATCCAGCCAACTCCATAACAATGTACCGAGTGGTACATGAGTCATATGTCATGGCTGAGCTGCAATAAACCAAGTCTCTAACAAGGTCAAGGGAGGAATCATATGATGCTTTATGTGTTTTTTCTTCAGCACCATCCTCAGCCTGAAAGCAGGGCTTCCTGTGCTGTTACTGCCTATCAGGTGATAAGGCATAAAACATCCAGTGATTCTCAGTGTTTTGTCTCTGTAGCTCAACAGAGAATGCTTAAAGATATTACTGGCTCCTAACTCGTTCATCTGCCAGAACCACACAGTGTATTTATAATTCACTGACTGTCTTAAGCAATGTCATTTTCTTACTACAAATATCAAGTGCTTATCAAAAACACTCAAACATCATGGCATTTTCTTTTATCAAAAGACCTAGCAGCTGAAGCTGAAAATTAGACATACAGACACATAATTCTACCAAAAAGATTAGAAACCAAAATTTCCCCTACCTTTAGGAATTATTTCCTCCTGTCTTAATTTATTAAATAGTAGATTAATCCACCAGAAACATGCATGTTTTACACAGAACCAGGCAAGCCATTCAAACATTTTTAGTTTCTTATCAGTCATTAGAAAGCTAGCCATACTGTAGGTCCCAAGAAGGAAGCATTCAATAGCTCTACTTTTTAAAAAATTCAAAATGTTTGAATTTCCAGAAGGAAGTAAAGACTGTATAAACGCCTCTCAGAGTGGAAACAGACCTGCTTTTTCTATTTGAAAGATTTGGGGAAGGGGACTAAATTTCAATATCATGCCAAATATTATGAAATGCAACTATAAAAATATGTTGTGCAAAAATCCCAAAATAGCTGCTTTGGAGACATATAAACATTCCATTAATTATATTTTACATATATGGCCACCAATCCCAGTTCTTATAAGAGCGATTCTCAACGACAAAAAGATCATTGTTTTTGTAACTATGGCTTAACACTTCCAGGGTGCAAAAGGAATAATTAATACAACGGTGGGGGTGAAAGCTAGGTAAGGTGTATGAACAAGAGCAATAATGGACAATTTAAATAATAAATTGACACAGCTTGTGATAAAACAGTACTCCAACGGAAATAAATAAAACAGGCACCCACGCCCTCACTATAGATAATAAAACAGCACGCATACATTTAAATGAGAAGTATAGGGACTGTGTGTCGGATTTGTTTCAATGCACAGCAGACTTCACATTTAACGGATATCCACTTACATTTTCTGTGGTTCCAGTAATCACGTGCAATCCATCATAGGTTGATTTGATGTACATGCCCTAGAGTGAGTCACAAATATATTGACTCATTATTCCAACATTTAGAAGTGCTGCAAGCCACAAGTGAGACAAACTTATAAAACATTAATGAGAGTCCCTTCAGAACAATACTCATTTTTAAGCCTCCTGAAACATCATGAAACAGGATCCAAAGGGTGGTGAAGGGGAACTAAACAAATCGAAATACCAGGGAAAGAAATCAAACTTGAGATCTCTTTGATATTATAATTTGTGTGCCATGCACACAGCACTTTGCCACAGCTCTGAGGATGGAGGAGCTTTCTCAGACATGCTCAATGAGTGAGGCACTTCAAACAAGAACTGTTCTTTCTTAACTATCTCTTTGTCTAGGGACACAATATCTTCATCTAAATATGGTCTCAACAGCAATGTCCGGATGACTTATATAAGCCACTAATAACCCAGACCAAGATATACAAATGAAGATTGCTAAATAACACAACACAGGCAGGTTAGTAAAAGGTACCCTCCATTTTAAGGGAAGCATAAAGAATATTCTCCCTCCTAAGAGGCAAAGCCAGAGGTGAATGCCCTGTCCCGGAGGAAATGTTTCTGCAGTTGGACACACCATGTATAAGATTTTTTTTTATAAAACTGTTGTAAGATGGGGAAAGAGAATAAAGGTAGACAAGGCAGAAAGTAGTTGCTCACCCTGGTATCTATGCAGTAACAATGTGAATCCTCCTCAGAAATCATGCTGAACTTGCCCTGCTCAGCAACCTACTCTATGATGAGAATCTCATCAAATACTAATGCCTTCAAGGTTCTCCCCACTCCTCTCCCATCCTCTTACTTTAATTCACAGAGCATATCAGCTTCTCGATCCACATGGTACTCCTTTTCCCAGGGCACTGCTTTGTAACTTTACCATCAGAAATGACAACTCCATTTCTGCCCACTCAGGGCATCTATCTGCTTTAATTCTTGACTATAAACCCACCTGCAGGAAGTCCTCCCTGTTTAAATTTAATCTGTTATAATCCATCATTTACTTTGAAGCCAAGTAGTACTAGTATGCATATTTCTGCTCACTAAGAATGTGGGCCTGTCAACATTTTGTTGATTTTTATTTTCTATGTAAGAGCAGAGACTGCCTAAATATCTCCTCACAGCTACCTACACATGAGGCAGTCATCCTCCTCCTTTTCCTCCTCCTTCCCTCGCCTCCTCCTCAATACCAGCAACAGTAGCTGCAGCCACCATTAATGCACACGTGCTACATGCTCAGCACCTGGAGCTTTGCATTCAGGATCTAATTTAACACTTTCAACAGCCCTGTGAGGAAACTGACAGGTAAAGAGGTTAAGTCCTTCAACAGCTGGGATTTAAACCCAGCTCTCTCTTACTTAAAGCCTCTAAGCTAATTAATGAGCCTCACAGTTTCTTCACCTAAATTTCAGCAAATTAATCCCATAGGATGCACGCTAGGTACTAGAAGTTCACCTGTATGTAGCCTCAGGGGCCTGCTATCATACAGCTCATACATTACTTATGAAACATTCCTAAACTTCTCTCAAGAATTGTTTCCTTCAACCAGCCTCTTCTCACATTCATCGTAAGTGCTAATAGAGACTTTCAGAGCAGATGTTGCTTTTGTACCCGCAGACCATCTTTATTTTGAATAAATGTTTTATATCTCCCTGCACTGCTAAGTCCTAAAAATAAAACTGTTAAAACAATTCCTTTAAGATATGAGTATGCAGTTTTAAAACTGGATTTATTTTTATACTTTGAAGAAGCTAGAAAACATTATCAACGGCGTTCAAGATAGCAAATTCCTAACTACATAGTGGAAGGTAGTCTAATTTAATTCCACTTTTCAGAAATACAGTGAGAGCAATAAAGAATTTTTTTAAAAAAAACTTTAGTAAATGACAGCATGTGTTATCTGAAAATAAAACAAGTGTTGTTAGAGAGCTTACCAAGCCTTCCCCAGGTTTGATGTTTGGTAAGTGAACTTCCTCCAGGCACGCACACTGGCTCATAACAGGATCCGTAGTCGATCGGATTGTTTTGTCACAGATGCCATTTAAAACCTTGACCTAGAATTAGAAAGGCAAATAGCCAGGAAAGTTCAATCATTAACCAAGTTTATCTCAAGCCAATTTTTAAAGAAATGCACTTCACTTACAAATCTTTAGTTCTGGCCAGCAATCGCTTTGATAATTCTGCTCAATGAATGCATGGCATTTGGACTCATTTGCAATCTGTGGAGATGGTGCCACTATTTCAGCCTTGCTTAAAAAGTGCAGCTTTTATATTAATTAGCTCCTTTACGACCACTGAAGAGCACAGGCCACACAGAAACCCCTTTCAGCAGTTAAGGAAAATCGTCTATTCCCAGCCACCTGTATGACTTTTTAGTGACCCCTCACATTCCCTGTATACCAAAGACTGACGAGGTAAAACAATTTTTTTGGCCTGTACCATTTTTTTAGTACATTTTACTTTTTAAAGTTGTTTTCTGTTCATCAAAAAAGTGAGCAAAAAAGTACCCTGAGTTCCCATGCACCCCCTTCACCACCACACCGCCCCAGTTTCCCCTAGTCGTAAGATCTTGTATTAGTATGGGGAATTTGTCACAATTGGCAAACAATATTGAGACATTATTTTAACTAAAGTCCATAATTTATATTGGGGTTCACCCTTCCATTCAATGGGTTTTGACAAATGCCTAATGTCGTGCATCTATCATCACAGTATCCTACAGAATAGTTTCACTGCCCTAAATATCTTCTGCTCAACCTAATTATCCATCACCCTCTCCCTCACCATGAACTCCTGGCAAACATTGATCTTTTTACTATCTCTACGGATTTCCTTCTTCTAGAATGTCAAATAGTTGGAACTAAACAGCAGGTAGTCTTTTCAGATTGGCTTATTTCAATCAAAAATATGTATCTAAGTTTCTCCTATGTCTTTTCATGACTTGATAGCTCATTTTTTTAATTGCTGAATAATATTCTATTTTATGAATGTACCACAATTTATTTATCCGTTCCCCCGCTGAGAGACATTTTGGTTGCTTCCAATTTTTGGCAATTATGAGTAAAGCTGTTATAAACATTCTGTGCAGATTTTTTGGACGTAAGTTTTCAACTCCTTTGGGTACACACCTAGGAGCATAATTGTTGCACTGTATGGTAAGAATATGTTTCATTTTGTTAAGAAACTGCCCAGTTGTCCTCAAAACTGGCTGTACTCCTTTGCATTTCTACCAGTAATGAATGAGAGTTTCTATTGCTCCACATCCTTGCCAGCATTTGGTGTTATCAGTGTTTTGGATGTTAGCCAATCTAATAGGTGTGTAGTGGTCTCTCGTTTTAATTCACAATTCTCTAATTACAAATGACATTGAACACCTTTTCATATGCTTATTTGCCATTTGTATATCTTCATTGGTGAGCCATCTGTTCAAATCTTTTGCCCACTTTTTCATTGGGTTGTTTGTTTTATTACTGTTTTAAGAGTTCTTTGTATATTTTGGATACAAGTCCTTTATCTGATACATGCTTTGAAAATATTTTCTCCCAGTCTGTGGCTTGTGTTTTCATTCTCTTAACAGTGCTTTTTGTACAGCAGTTTTTTATTTTAATTAAGTCTACATTATCAATTTTTCTTTCATGGATTATGCTTTGGCTGTTCTATCTAAAAACTCATTGCCAAACCCAAGGTCACCCAAATTTTCTCCTGCGTCATCTTCTAGAAGTTTTATAGTTTTGCATTTTACATTTGGGTCTATGATATTTTTAGTGATCACTCACATTCTCTGAATGCTGAACACTGGCAAGGTAAAACTCTAAGGAGATACCATGAGGATCCCTATTAAGTGGTCTCCGTAGAGGTCACAGTGGTTATGTGTGGCAGTTTCCCCAATCAGATTCATCTAATCTTTCAAAATTTAACAACCAAAAAAAAAAAATCAGGAAATTCCAGAGTGATTTTTCTTTCCAAGGGGGAGAATCCAAGAAGTGATTCTTTTTTACATTCCTCCAATTTGTTTAGCCTCCCTATTTATGGAAAATATATTTATAGCAGTTTCATTGCTAAATTCCTCAACATCAGTAGGAGGAAGGCCTTATCAAAAGAGCACAGGCTGGCTTATGTCAAAAGGAGGAAGTGATGATGAATGGTTACAAAATGCTCTTTAAACAGTCACAGCACACTCCCCACTCCATCATAAGGTTTTGGCCAAAAAAATTTTTTTTAATCAACATGGTCCTAAAGTCAAATTTACACATCAGTTTAACCCTGACTAACAGGTTAGCTAGCAATTTATGTATAATTGTACCCTAATAAAATGTTCAGAAGGAAAAAACAAAACAAAACAGAGACCTCAATATAGGTAACCTAAACTGAGGAATTTTCACAGTAGTTGGTCTTGTAAAACAACTTTCATCCTTTTGTTTCCACCTAAATTAACAGATCCCTACACCAAAAACCAGTATTTCAAAGCATCTCCTGAAGTCATCAGCCGCAGTCCATTTACTTAATTAACTCGATTCCCACTGCCTTCAGAAAAGGAATTTTACAATAACTTTTAGAACGTATACTTACCACAGTTAAAACTTTATCCTCCATTTCAGCTATAAGACAATCCTAAAGAAGGGGGTGGAGAAAATGAAAATTTAGTTTAAGAGTTAAAAAAACTTTCCAAAACTGTTGGCTTTACTTTCTAGATAGTTCCTGGGGCCCAAGACTACCCCTTACATGCCCCTCATCCTTCAGCTGGTGCAGCCCCACAAGACCTGGGTGGGAGAGAGAAGGCAGAGTGAGAGGGGGCTGACATTCATCTCTTCCTAAAGCCCTGCTCTCCCCTCACCCAAAGAACTTCTCATCAGAGCAACTTCACCAATTATTTAACTTGAAAACCTACAAAAATCACTGAACTGAAATCCACCTCCTATCCAGAGGATCCAGAAAGTTGCGAGTTGGAGGTCCAAGGCAAAAAACCTGACCACAGCTCCACTGTGACCCCAAGCTCAGCTAGCTGTGGGCCAACAAGCCAGCAGTCCTTAGCTCTGGGCCTGCCTGTAAGAATAGCTTTCAAATAAGAGCTTGAGTAAACTCAGCCACAAAAGTTTATTTTAAGCACCACTGAGATTAAATCAGATATTTCAGTCCTTGATAGATGAAAAGGCTTCAACAAAACATTCATTAACACACTGCCAAAAAAGTGGTCTTGAGGTATGCTATTGATGACATTAAATAAAGAGCTGGAATGCAAAGCATTATTTACTCAGCTCAAGAACAAAAGCCTCTGAACACTGTATGCACCAGGTTAGCTGATTATAGGAATCACCACTGCCCTGCCTAAAAGCTGCCAAAGTGAAACTGCCAGTGTGAAACTTTCTCAGTCAACCTTCTAGAACTCATCCACTGCAAATTATTTCAAGCTATGCCACAGGGTGCATGCAGAAGAAAATCGAAACAACTAGATTCTGTAGAGTTTATTCAGCACCATTCACTATATAGTCCCAAACTGAGACAAGCATAAAGATAACGTTAATTATTTTATGTACATGAAGAATATTAATCAATTCTGTTAAAATTATTAAGCAAAGATTTTCACTTAAATAGAAAATTCATTTTTAGATCACTTTTTACTATTACTTGGGGAGGGAGATGGCCACCAATTTCTACTCTATGTGGTTCAATCATCAGACTTTCATTGTCATCTTCAATCTTTATAATTTTCTCTACCAGACAAAAATATAGGAAACAATAATAGTTACTCTACTGCTCCCCAAATTTATACTGACTCTCAGAAAAAGAGCAGCCTAGGAAGAAAACACTTTAAAAATAAATTTAGAAACATATTTTTACATGTATGAATCTGATACAAATTAAAACTACAGGAGTAAATTCTGTAAATATGAATAAATACCATTCAAAAATGTGCTTTTTCACCTATATCTTGTACACAAAACTAAACCATCAACTACCTCGATGGCTGATTCTCTATTAACATGGCCTGACAGAAATGTTTGATAAATATCAACTTTAGAAAAACAGTGTATTTATGTGGTCTTATGCTAGACATAAAACTAATAATTTGTGTCTATGATCTTTCATTGCAAATCTCAAAATGATGTAAGCACTGTCACCCTTGAGAGACCATCGCCCAGAGGCGGAGAGCTCCTCTCAAACACACCAGGGCCAGGGAGTCAAGGCAGAGATGTAAGGCCAGGCGCGGTGGCTCACGCCTGTAATCCTAGCTCTCTGGGAGGCCGAGGCGGGCGGATTGCTCAAGGTCAGGAGTTCAAAACCAGCCTGAGCAAGAGCGAGACCCCGTCTCTACTATAAATAGAAAGAAATTAATTGGCCAACTAATATATATAGAAAAAATTAGCCGGGCATGGTGGCACATGCCTGTAGTCCCAGCCACTTGGGAGGCTGAGGCAGAAGGATTGCTTGAGCCCAGGAGTTTGAGGTTGCTGTGAGCTAGGCTAACGCCATGGCACTCACTCTAGCCTGGGCAACAAAGTGAGACTCTGTCTCAAAAAAAAAAAAAAGGGAGAGATGTGACCTCATGGTTCCCAACACTTGGGTCTTCAGCGAATCCAAGAGGCCACCAAGAACATGACTTCCCTGTCCTGGTAACTGAGCCAACAGACATGTGGAGCTCTCCTGCCTCCCAAATTGTTTCCATCAGCGTGTGAAAGGGCTCACGTTTTACCTTCCGCCACGGTGAACATGGGTTCCCACACCCATTCCTACTGAGAGGAAGCAGCTGCAGGCACGACTTCACATTGTTTGGCATGAAGGCCACGGGATGGAAAAATTAGCACTGAAACCAAGTCCCTCCCTCACGAGTCAGACAAGAAGCTGAGCTTCACCACAGCCCCAGACACCTGACCAACAGAGACCCAGCCCAGGCAGCCATGAGCTCTGGCCCCTGCCTGTCCTCCTCACTCTGCCTTCTGAGGACTGAAGCAACCTTGGGCAAGGTGTTTAACGTCTCTGTGCCTTTGTCTCTTTCTCTGTAAAACAAGATGATGACAAAACCCACCTCCCTCAGGGAACTGTGGAGAATTCAATGTGAGAACACATGTCAAGCAAGAAGCATACACCTGAGACACAATTAACACTTAGTTATGGCCTTCTTTCTCTTCTGCTTCCACGGCTTGCTTGCTTTCCATTCAGTTTTCTTGAGCCCAAATACTGCTCACTTCTCTATTTCTTTCCCAACCGGAATTCAGCACCTGCCACTGCCATTTTCCTTCCTCTCACCGTCACTACTTCAGTTGTCATAGTGTCACAACATGAGGAGACTAGACTAGAAATATAGATCACAATCTCTTCCCACTTTGGTTTCCTTCATCTCAATTTGTAGCCTCAACAGTGGATGGGAAGATCTTTTTTAAAAAAAAAAAATGTGCAATTTCCTTGTAGGGGAAAAATAATGCAGCAATATTTATCTTTCAAATCAGAAGACTTATAAATTATTATTGGAAAGAAGGATGTGGAGAAAGTGACAAGAAAAACAAGGGGAAAACAGCAATATGTAGAAGAAAAGAGAAAAAGGAACAAGCAAATGTCTCTCTTCACAGACACAGACATGAAGAATAAAGGCTCAAGAAGAATATGTTGCTGCTGGGAAAAAAAGAGATCCAACTTTTATTCCTTTGATTCCCAGGTTAAAAGGAATAAGTGGCAAAAATGGGTTTCTTCCCAAAAAGTCAGCAGATCTTCTGTCAAGAACTATGAGAGAGTGTGAAGCCCCTGGCACATTCAGTCTTGTTGCTACCATTACAATGCACGTCGAAAGCCACATTCCACTCATTCGTCAGATTTGCTATTTCTAATTTATGTGTGTATGTGCGCACATGTACACAAACATCACAATCTGCCAAAGCACCTGTGCTCTTCAGTTACTTTTAATACAAAAAACTCCGTTTTCAATCTAAGTTCAGAAAATGATACCCCCATGTATATTTACATAACAGTCTTAATCCTTAAAAACCATTCAAATTTAAAATTTAAAAAATAGCAGCAAACAAGAGCAACATATTTGTTTCACTGCCCTCCTTAAACTATCAAATTTGATTCCAGAAAACCAGTAAAGGCACGATTTTTCTATTGTCTATAATAGTGCACTATTATTTAAGTGGTGTACTTTTAAAAATTCATATCCCATTTAATTTTCATAACAATTTTTGAAGTATTATTTTAAACATATTTTATATTATTTACCTATATCTAATTTTACATAAATCCATAACTGTGATCAATATACATGATTTTTGTAAATAAAAAATGTTTGTTCTCTCTCTTTTTTGCTTGGCTCCTACATTCCCTCCCTATCTTTCTCCATGCTGGGGTAAACATAACTTTTCTTTCAAGTTGCCTACTACATTTACATATTCCTTTGTACACAGGTTTTTGGATGTATGTATATTACAAATATATGTATATATACACGCACTTTAATTTTTTTGGTACTCATTTATCTTCATGTCATCCTTTTTGTGTTTGCCTTTTTTCTTACTCAACAATAACTTGTAGGAATCCCACCAAATCATCCAGAAAGGTAAATATTAGTATTCCCATTTTACAGATGAGAAAATTGAGACTCAAATTTTAGGTGACTTGTCCAAGGTCTAATTAATAGTAGAGGTAAGATTAATGGTAATTAATAGTAGAGGTAGGATTTGAACCTACAGCTATCTCTCTGTAAAGAATACACTCTTAACTACCGCGCTAAACTTCCTCAAAGAGCACCATAGGGAAAACAAAAACAAAAAATAAGCACAGAAACAAACAAAAACAGTATCTCTTGTGTCCCTTGAATTTGGGTTAGAATTCTCCTGATAAAAGACAAAATCTCTACAGCTGACTTGTCAGAAGCATTGCCTCATTCATTTAAACATGCATTTAAACATCACCATTAGGCATGTGGCAGGCATTGTTAGGCCCCAGTAAGCAGCGGCAGGTGGGATAAGGATGCTTAGCAGGTACCTTCTGATGTGACCATATCAGGGGCACCTCCTACGTGGAAATTCTCTTTATTACCTATGCATAATGATCAACACCTCTAGGTGTTGGACTAAAAGTACCTTTTCCTCATAGTCCTAGAGGTGTTGATCATTATGCAGTAAGCCCATCCCATCCAGATTCTGCAGTAAGCCCATCCCATCCAGACAACACAGAATATATTAGTTGAATTGTTCAAGTGCCACCTTCTCAATGACGCTACTCTAGCCACATATCTTAATCCATGTAGTCCCCTCTCAATCCTTCCTGGGCGCATTCCCTCCTCAGCACTTTGCTACCCTTACATAATTATATATAACACACATTCTCTCTCTCTCTCTCTCTCTCTCTCCTTCTCTCTCCATATATATATAGTATATATATATAATATATATATATATGATTTTGCTTATTTATCTTTCAATTTTCTCTTTCCCCCAGAGACTTTGAAGTCCATGAGGTCGGAGACTCTCTCTGCTTATTCATTCTGGTATCCCAGTGCCCAGAATAGTGGCAGACACAGAATAAGTGCTAAATAAAAAAAAATGTATTGACAGTACTGTCCAAATACCCATAAAGCCAACATCAACTTGCTTAGACAAGCAGATTCGCCCTGTGAAACAAATATGATGGCCTCTGCCTTTGATTTAGGCCCCTTCTCTCCTCTCTCTACGCTACAGTGGGGCAGCCTGAATCAGTCACACAGTCTAGGGCCCTTGGCAATAAAACACGAATGTACCTATCAGCATAACTTTCCCCTTTGCCAATTACAATGTTTAACTCTTACACTGTCATTGAATCGACTGCAAGTGAACTTCATTAAAAGTCAAAATAGGAGGCAGAATATTATGAGAAGAAGAAAGAAGAATGCTCAATGTATGTATCAGGGAAATCCCTTCCACTGCAAATGCCAGGCTTTCGTGGCTAGATGACTAATGCAGCAAAATTGGTATCAGACTCTTTTTGACCCAATTACTTTGTGCATCACATAAAAAAAAAAAAAAAAAAAAAGAGCTACACCACGAGTTGCTCTGAGCACCTTTCTAAGATCATGGGCTCTATTAAGTCCAGTGGTTGCTCAGGCCTAGTTCTCAAACAACTGTCATGTGTAAAGCTAAAGTTCACAATTAATATTCCAGAAACAAACATAAAGCTCATGGCTTTGCAGAAATGTACCTCTTTCAGGCATGGGCAGGATTGAGGGAAGGATGTTCTTTATTTTTTGCCAAATCAGCAGTGGAAACAAATGCAGAATGATAGAATTTCAGGACCAAGTAGGACATTAAAAAACAAGCTCTTCCTTACATTTTATAGACTCTATTTAATTGAAAAATATTTTACAAGTGTCTGCTACATACTGAGTAATAAGACAGGAGATGGTCCTTTAATAAGAAATTTAAAAATTAAGATCACAGAAGCCAGGTAAGTTACAGATTGACTGATATAAAACTTTCTGGGCCCTTACTAAGATACCCAGGTCTGGCCAATGAGCCATGAGTGAAATGGCTCATTGACATGTGTCACTTCCAAACCAGAACATCTGTCAGTGCGGGAACCTTCAAGGTTCTTTGTCTCTCTGCCCCAGGGACAAGCAACATTGACATGACATGTAACTAGGGTTCTGCCAGCCTGTGTCCTGAAGGGAGGAGAATCCAAGCTGACTGCCCCACCCCCACTGACCCATTAACATGTAAATAATCGAGTAATAAAAAGGAATAAACTGCTGAAGTTTGGGGCTTGTTCGTTATTGCCTCATAATCTAGCCCATCCTGACTAGTAAAGCCAACAACCAAAGGTCAAAATGAGAAGAAAATTAAGAAGCAGATACATAAAGTCCTCAGCACAAAGACTATAGTGCAATTTAGTTACTCCAGAGTTTCTTTTTTTATTTTTTTCTTTTGAGACAGGGTCTTACTCTGTCACCCACGCTGGAGTGCAGTGGTGTAATCATCCTCACTGCAACCTTGAACTCCTGGGCTCAAGCAATCCTCCTGCCTCAGCTTCCTGAATAGCTAGGACTACAGGCGTGCACCATCACACTCAGCTAATTTTTAAAATTTTTTTTGTAGAGACAGGGTCTCACTGTGTTGCCCAGGCTGGTTTTGAACTCCTGACCTCAAGCAATCCTCCCACCTCAGCCTCCCAGAGTGCTGGGATTACAGGTGTGAGCAAGGACACCCAGCCTAAAATTTCCATAAAAAAAAAAAAAAAATTAAGTGCTCTAACATTTTTTAGAGGAAGTATAGGACTGTTGGCTCAATTATATTAAAACAAAACAAAACAAAAAAGCAATCTCTGATTCAAAGGCCACTGGTCATTTTTCACAGAAACCATCTGTACAAGGAATCTAATTTAAAGCCTTTCATCTCTCCCCAATTCTGAGGGGGGATAAATGGGGGGGTAGGGAGAATGGTACTTCATACCTGCATGGAAACCCTTTGAAGAAGAAGAAAAGGGGGAAAGAATTTCAGAAACCGATAATGATGTGCTACTGACCTTCTGGACTGTCGTGGTCAGGTCCAAGCAAAGCTGAATGATTTTGTTCTTCGTTACTGAGAAGTCAGTGATCCCTGTAAATGGAGCCCTAGAAGGTAACAAAATTCCTCTTTAAAAAAAAGGTAGAGGGAACCCACTGGGATCCCACACTGTATGTTGACAAGCAGAGCTACCCATGGACTAGTTTAAATTATCTGTTTCCTCTCAAGTAACACATAAAAAAGGAATCTGAATAGAAAAGAGAGAAGTACTAGATAAAAGCACATTGAAAATGAGCCAAGAGAGTGAACATCCCTTCAGAAGTCAACTAACAGCCTTCACGCCAACCAAATACCCAACTATTAATGTTTAATCTCAATGAACCACAACCTTTAGCACAGTTCCACACTTCTCCAAGCCGAGGTTAACTTGTTCCTGCCATTAACCTTTTAAGTAACTTGCAAAGGAATCCTAAAATCTACCACTGATCTAAGACTCCTTGGCTTCCAGTAACAATGACAGGAAAGGGACACTGGCTCATTTTCTTAAGTACAGGCTTCCGCACGTCTCGGACCCTACTCTTGTTAACACAGTGAAAGAGACACATCCGCAACTCACCGGTCCAGCCACGCGAGCAAGGCCTTGGCAGCGCCGATGAGCTCCACCACGGAAGTCAGGAACTCATTGGGGGGCTTGTGGGAGGTGTTCCCATCATAAGCTGGATTTTTCCGCCGGCTACTTATGTAATTCTGTAAATTGTGGGAAGAAGCTCGCAGTCTCAGAACCAAGTTCTTCATGTTGTCAGTTTCAAGGCCATAATTCTACGCAAAACAAAATCAAAGGGAAAAATTCAAAACAATCAACAATGTCCAAATTCTCATAATAACTCAAAAGCCCACTGAGTAACCTGAGTAACTCCTGCAACCACTGCAATGCCCTGGCTGATCTACCCACAGCCCACGATGCCCACTCTGGCCACACTGGCCTCTTCTCTGCTCCTCCCGCAGCCTGCTCCTAGCATCCTTGCTAGTTCCTCTCCCCAAAATGCTCTTCCCACAAGTCTTGGCAGGGACAGCTCATTCTTAATACACGGGTCCTGACCTAAATGCCTCTCCTCTGTAAGGCTTCCCCGACCAGGGTCTCTCAACCTCGGTCCTACTGACAATCAGGGCCAGATAATCTCTGTTGTGGGGATGGGGGATCCTGTGTATTGCAGGAGGTCTAACAGCACCGCTAGTCTCTACCTCAGGGGTCCTCAAACTACAGCCCGCCGGCCACATGCGGCCCACCGAGGACATTTATGCGGCCCACAGGGTGTTTTTGCCACCGCTGCCTGTCCTGCTTAGCAGCCGACTCGTCCCGGGCCCACAGTGCGCATGTGTGGAATGTGCACCGCACTCTCCAACGGTCTGAGGGACAGTGAACTGGCCCCCTGTTTAAAAAGTTTGAGGACCCCTGCAGTCTACCCCATCAGATGTCAGTAGTGCCCCCCCAGTTGTAACAACCAAAAGCATCCCTGGCATTGCCATGTGTCCCCAGTGGGCAGAATTGCCCCCTTAATCACCCTATAGCACTGTACTCACTTCTGCTCCACCTGAACCACCGTGTTCACTGCTATTTTCCTCAATGGGATGCAAGGTGTGGGGAAGCAGGGCTCTGTGTGTATTGCTCACTGCCGTGTTTCTAGCACAGCAGGTGACAACATGGTCACTGGATGGATGAATGCCCATCAGACAAGACTCACACAGAAACAGAGCAGCACTAGCTAAACACCAACTCACTAAAATATAATTTCCCTCCCTGGAGCTTCTAACCTGTATTCTTTGTGAACAATGTTCAACTTACTTGGGTGCAATTTCACAGGACAATATTGTCTTAGACTCCCTTTCAGAGACAGAACGAATCTCAGGAAGCAATACATAAATCTGAGACAACTTTAGACATAGGGATATGAATTTCTGTATTCAATTGTATGTACATGTCCTAAATTGTTTTATCATTTTAACAACAAGTGAAGGTATTTCTGGAGGTATGTTATGCTGCCTCAATAGCATCCCAAAGCAAGAATCTGGAACCACTTAAAAACTGGGCCTAACATAATGACTAACATTTTTGAACACTTTATGCCAGGAATGAGGCTAAGTGTTTAATGTGTATTATCTCAGGGAAACAGCCCATAAAGGTGGAAATGTTATTATCTCTAATTTACAGGTGAGGAAACTGAGGCACAAAAACAGTAAATAAATTCTCCAAAGTCACACAGCTAATCAGTGGTGGGGTTGGGATTCTAATCAAAACAATCACCATCTAGGGCACAAGCTTTTGATCTCTCTGCTGTGTGTCCCCCTTCCACACACCTGCTCAGGAAACAGCCAAGTGAGAAGGCAAAAAACAAGAGGGACATTTGACAAGAATAAAGAAAATTAGCCAGTGGTCTAGGATCTAACACAAACCAACATGCTGTTTAACTCCCCAAAATACTTCCTGACTTGCTACACCCCCTCTGAAGTGTCAGGTGCTTCTTTCACCTGCTCTCAGCTACCCTGGCCATCTGGACCAGAAAGGGGCAAGCCATGCTTCAAAATAAAGATACATAAATTATAAATATACTCGGAAGTTTGTGACAATTTCTTTCTGCAAGATAAGATGAGCAATGGTAAGTTAACAACAATGACAAAAGGCCTTGACTTTAATGAAACAATCCTAACTTTAAGTAGATTTTATTTGAAGTTTAAATTTATGTTGCTTCCTAGTAATTTTTAAAAAATTAGAAATTCTGAAATGAGTTAGGTAACTGAAATGAATGGAAAGCTGTCTTCTATAAGCTTTGAAAAAACTGTAAATTTCAAAATATGAGTGTTCTGTATTAACAGTAGTAGTCTATCTAAATCTTATATTCATTCTTCTTTTATGTTATTTTCTAGAGACTAAAATATGATATTGGCCTTCAATTTCTATTCAATGTCTTTTCTAAGACAAAAATAAAAAGATGGATTTTCATCATGGCTTTTTCAATTTCAAAGAATCAAAGACTTACAATTGAATGAATAAAGAGCCCACATGACAGCTTGCCTTGAAGGATTTGTGACTGTTATTAATGGGAAATGTCCCCTCCCCTTAGTCAATTAGCCTGCCAACTTACATCAACAGTTTGGAACTAAAAGCAGGAAAGTCACCATTCAATAACCAATGTCACCATAAATTACATGAAACTTCTTACTATACACAACATTTACTTCTTGAACTCAAAGAGGATTAAATGCACTTTATTATTGCAAGAAACTTTAAACCTCAATCTTCCTACAAACCTACCACTTTTAATATTAAAGTAAAAGAGGAAGGGTGGCTTCATATAACTGGTTCTCTTCATTTTCCACTCAGTTTGCTCTGATTCTTCCCCCACCCAAAAAAAAAAAAAAACAAATAATGGGAACTAGAAAGACGGATAGATAACAGCTAAAATAGAATACAATTTTTAAAAGAAGTAAGGAGGAAAGTTAGGAAGGCAAGTTCCTTTCCCTTTGACCATATTCCACAATAAGGAGAGAACAAGAAACTAATTATATTAGCTCAAAAGAGCCTCGACTGTAGTAACATAATTAGGAAAGGATTATTGACTTAAGTGCCCCGCAATGAAAGAAAATGGATAATTTCTCAGGCCAGAATGATTTTTTTCACCAGTCTTTTCCCTAAAATCTGTCTCCTCTAGAAATTGCTTTAAGATAATTCATCAAAAAGATATAAATTAAGTATCAAAGTGAGTCTCTGAAAATCTATTCACATATTAAAACCCTTGGCTGAGATCTCACTTCCTCAAGGGTTAGCCACCAGGGATCCCTTCCTGACCTGGGTGGAGAAGCCAACCACTAGACAGGAGAAAAGCAAAGAGACCAGATTCTCATTCTTCTGGTACCTTAAAACTATATACATTTTTACTAAGGACAAACCTTACACAACCTCTCTCCCTTTTCCACTCCTACAAGCTCTGTTCATGGTCTAACATGCATGATTAAGGGGTGCCAGAGACACACTATCAAAGCATCTTACTGACTTGGGTCCATTAAATGACAAGCTGAGAAACATACTGCAGTTTTCCTAAACGCATTTAATAAGTTCATAAGCAAAATCAAATTAAATACAAATTGCTAGCAAAGATTCCTCTTCCTCCATGATTTCTTTTCATTAAAAAAGTAGCATTTTTAAATGATATACCATGGGTAAATGATGCACAACAAGTAATCTCAGGGGTATACAAGTGTGCATAAGCACTCTGGCCAGGCAGGTTCATTACGGGTATTCCGTTAAACCACAAATTTAGGTAGCATCACTTAACCCATCTATTAGTTCCAACTGTGTTCACCTCTCAGCCTTCTTCAGCCTTAAAAGCACAGCTGTCCCTATCGTGGTCTTCAGTAAACTAGGGCCTCATTGATTTGGCAAAGAACACAGGTTACAATCATACTTTGTCACTCTCAACCAGCACTGTCCAACAGAACTTTCTGCAAGGATGAAAATGTTCTTTGTGCTGTCCAATATGGTAGCCACTAGCCACATGTAGCTACCGAGCCCCTGAAATGTAGCTAATGCAACTGAAGAACTGAATTTTATTTCACTTTAATTAATTTTCATTTAAATAGTCACACTGGCTAACAGCTATCCTACTGCAAAGAGCAGCTCTTATGTCTGTCTCAGGCACCCTTGGCCCCAAACAGAGGAAGAAAAATTGGGGTACAGATTCTAATTCAATCCTGGGAAGTGGTCTTGGTCCTGCCTCATAATATAAGTCACTCTCCTAAGCCGCTGCTGCCAGCCAAAGTCAATGTTCACAAAAGGCGGCTTCTCTCCTTGCTCTCTAACCAGGACCAGCCATTTGTGCGCCATGCTCACTAGTTTGTGAATCTTAATAGGTATTCCCTATTTTAGGTCCCTACCCATTCTATCTACCCTTCTGTTTGCTCTGAAACTTCCCAGCAGTGTTTTTTCCCCTCCCCCTTCCTTACTTCTAATTCTATTCATTTCCTGTCTATCACAAAATCAACATCCACTAAACTAAGTTTACATAAAAACCTCTTTTACAACACCAGGGCCGACTGCAATTACACATGAACTGCCCCGGAGATGGCCCATTCAAAGCAAAAAGTTATCACCAACTTATATATCCAAAGATCTATAGGGCATAAATAGATTAAATAGACGGTATAATTAGTACATGAATTACTAAAAGAATATTTAAAGAGGAGACTGTACCAAGACTAAAGATATTTCACTAAAACTCCACTAAGACCCTTCCCAGCCCAGAAAAACCGCATGCATTTGCAAGCCCCCGAGAGACCCCCTGCCCAATGCAGTCACTGGCACAAAGCAGGTCCAGAATGAGTCTGAGGTCAAAGCTGGGTCCGCAGAGGAAATTAGGAGGAAATTGTAGGAGATAAAACACAGCTTTAGGTTCTGGCATTCGTCCAGCTTTGTTCAGTTTAGTCTAATGTTTAAGAGGTAGGGAAGAGGAAAAAAACGAGAGAATGCCCAGAGGCAGCTGTTACGTTTATCACCCCACGCAACCACCCAACGTGCCTCTAACCGACCCTCCTCCTCACCCCCATACTGTGGATTTACCTGTCCTGAAAGTATTGCCGCAAAGTGAAAGAGACAATGCAAATTTGCAAACCATCTAGCAGAAAAGACCAGAAAGCCATGTTCCCGGAAAGTATAACAAAAGTAAACTCAAACATGTTTAGCTGTACAAAAAACATACAGTTTTATAATAAACAGGACACTTAGACATCTTCCCAGCAGCGCAAAACACACAATAGCACAGAGCCACATCTAAGGTGAGTGTTACTGTGCAGATGGGAAAAACAGACACCAGCGTTTCCCCCGAGGTCACAGAGGGAGTAGCATGTGGCAGGGCCAGGATTAGAATGCAAATTCCTGCTTCCCAGACCAGGGCTCAGAGCGCTTGGCCAGAGTGTCTCCCTTGCGGCAGCTCATTTATCAACCACAAATAATTTCCCCATTACTTTCCTAAACAAGAGCCGTGCATCTCAGAGCAGAAGACAAGGCCCTGTCCATTTTAAGAAGAAGAATACGCACAATGCGGCAAGTGTTATATAATCAACAGAACGCAGACCGGCAATGGCAAAATAATCGGGAGCACATTCTTTCCCACCATTCTCAGTGAGGTAATTGTATATAGCCCTGGCTCCGAGTCAGAGCATTACTAACCCGGCTCGAAGGCTGTCGCGTTTGTCCAAATCCTGACAGTTCCGTAAACTGCAGGACAGGCAGACTCGAATGCCACCCATGCCGACCGGTTTATAAACAAAATGCCCTTCCAGGTGTTTCTAGCTCACACTTAACAGAAGCTACCCACGCAGCCACAGGTCCACTGTGCGTGTTAGGACCCGGCAGCGTTGAACTCACATCACAGCCAAAGCTCGACCATCCACAAAATGTAATGAAGTTCACATTTTTCCCCCCATTTTTTAGGTTGATGATGTCAAACGCAAACATCAGTTATTGAAACATCACAAATATCTGTGAAACTCAAATGCTTTTTATAGTCACAGAAACAGACATGAAAATCAGAATCCATTTCTCACTTCCATTTAGACATTTCCATTCAGGACTATTTCCATCTTCTTTTCCTTATAATAGATAAGAAAATAAGACTAGGATAGACAATTTTCTGTAAAAGATAGACTTTCTCTGTAAAGGGCAAGATAATAACTGTTTCGGGCTTTGGGGGCCCACATGGTCTCCGTTACAACTACTCAACTCTGTCACTGTAGCATGAAAGCAGCCACGGACGACACATAAATGAATGGGCCTGGCTGTGTTCCAATAAAAATTTTATTTACAAAAGTAGACAGTGGGCCAGACTTAACTTGCAGGCCACAGTTTGCCAGTCCTTAATCTAGAATATAAGTTGCATTTTCCCCATCTTATATTATTTTCAACTCATGCTTTACTTCACTAGTTCATTAAGAAAATGAAGATACACTAAAACATACATAAAACAATGAGGATTTAAGAGAGTAAGGGTCTAAAGACCGTCATCACAGTACAGACCACGTTTTCCTGAACTAACCAGTGCACAGAGAAGATCGACAGCCTCCAACACAAGCTCCTGGTGTCCGATCCGTGTGACCCCCAGCTCCTCCAGATCCTGATGGGAAATCTGCAGCAGCTGCTCTCCATTGATCTTCTCCCGTTCAAACTTGGAGACATACTGCTGCAGGCAGTCATCTAACCCTACCAAAAACAACCAGAAAGTCCATTATTGTCATTTTGTTCCTTTTCATCCAAAAGATCACCCACACTGTAATCAATCTCAGCAATCACCAATCATGCTGCCACTATTTGATCATCTATAAAGTGTATATTCCACCTGATGGGCACCTTTTGCATGACATTTTATCTCAAACAGGTTTCAAATGTTTAAACGGCTTAAAACTCTCAAATGGATCCAGCACAATTTAATGATAGTTACCTCTCATTCCCTGTAAACTAAAGGAATAAATAAGCCCTAAGCCCCCTGCTAAGCGAAAATGCTAGTTATTTGTGCTACACATGTTGTCTGTCTGCTAAGCAACTCTCCCTCTGGTATATCACCCCGCCCATCCCATGTAAGCCCAGGGGCCTCTTGCCAATCAAGTTGCTTTGCCACAGTGGCAAATGGCACATGGCCAGGCTGCCCACAATGCTCTATACACCAGCCAGTCATGGGTTCAGCTATCGTCATGTGCCTCAAGCAGAACCAATGAAAACCTTCCTTGATATACGGAAACAAGAACAGAAAGCTCTTTCTCCCTTTCCGGTTGGAAGTCCTAGGATACCATGTTCCTTGGCAATCTTGGCAGTCATTTTTCTGACCAGTTTTCTGAGAATAAATCCATTTTAGAGGAAAAGAGAAAATGACCTAATAATATCTGATATACCCCCGAATCTAACCCTGCTTAATAAAGATACTTCTGGCCCTAGAATTTTACACTTAAATTTAAGTGAATTCTCTTTTTTTAGCTTAAGCTTGTTTGTGTTGAGTTTATGTTCTTTGCATCTGAAAATGTCCTGATGAATACAAAACCCAAAGGAGAAAATATCAGCAGTGGTACCAGGGAAAGGCAATGTTAAATGGGTTAGCTTATGGAAATTTTTGCAGATGAAATACTACAGCCAAAAATATTGTATTTTAATGCTCATATATGATGTCGATAACGGGTAAGCCAAACAGAACTTGGGAATCTTTATTTCTATACAGGAAGCTCTCTGGTCAACTTGTTTTAATGGTTTTACTGATATAAAATTTTACCCTGTATCAACTGATCTATTCAACGTAATTATAAAAGTCACCTGAATATTTTAAAAGACTAGATCTATAAAAATTTGATTCCCAACACAAAGGATGAATACTTAATTTAATTAGAAAAGTATGTGGAAGGCATCCTGCTGTCCACCCCCACAACACACACACAGGCATGCACACACACTTATGTTTATTTCATTTAACCCTTACAAAAGCAGTATTTCGCTGGGCTAGAAAAAGTAGATACAAGGTCCAGCAGTTACTTTTGGCAATGCTAAAATCCATGGATCTTAAAAACTGATGTGTGAGGCTAAACTAAATCTCTGCCCCACAAACTTTCACCATTTGCCTCCCGATAAATGAAGAGGAGCAATTTTCTGATAACCATTTGATGTCATCATATATGGGAAGAAGAAGTAAGAAAAAATTTTATGGTAACCATTTGGAACCAGCCTATCCTGCCCAAAGTGACATCTGTCTAGCAGAGGAGCTCTGTCCCACAGCAAGCGAGGTTGGGGACTTTGATATAAGCCCAGCTCCACTCTGACAGCCTCCAGCCACAAGTGAACTCAGTGGCGTTTGGGCCCGGCAGGTGGTGGAGGCCAAGCAAGTCAGCAGGTGTTGGGAGTATCCACAACAAGCAACAGAGACAAGGGAGAAGGCTAGAAGAGAGCCTCCAAACTATTCTGTTCCTGTTTTATAGATGAAGGAATTGAGGCTCAAGGAGGATACATAGTCATATAGCTGGTCAGATGGAAGATATGTAACTGGTCACAATCACACAGCTGGTGAGATGTCAAGAGAAAGGGCTTCACAGTCATTTTCTTTAGCTTGATACAAAAGAAAAGAGCTTTGAATTCAAATCAAGGGCTGTTGGACACAAGCTTTGTTCTTTTGTGTTCCACCTGGTAAACACAAGATTATAACACGGGATTATAAAAATTATTCTCCAGGCTTCTTCCTAAATCAGCAGTAAGGTCAAATTATAAAACAGTCATTAAAATAGAAACTCAGAATCTTAGAGGCATTTAAAAGGAACTTGATATCTCACTGAGTATAAAAATTGGTGAAGCAGAGACAAAAGACGAATGACTGTGAAATTCACCTTAAATCAATTTGCCAGTTCTAAGCCAGATTGCCACTAGACCCTGCATTCTCTTGTTTTTCAGGATGTTGTCTTCTCGAGTCTATTTTAAGCTTTAAAAAGAACTTTTGTTTTTAATTTTTCATAAAAGTTTAAGACAACTATGTTATACATTTAAACCCCATTACAGGCCAGGCACAATGGCTCATATATCTGTAATCCCAATACTTTGGGAGGCTGAGGTAGAAGGATTGCTTGAGGCCTGTGCAACATCTCTACAAAAGATTTAAGAGAGGTGAGACCCTCATCTCTAGAAAAAATTTAAAAATTAGCCACTCATGGTGGTACATGCCTGTGGTCCCAGCTACTCAGGGAGTCTGAGGCAGAAGGGACATTTGAGCTCAGGAGTTTGAGGTTGCTGTGAGCTATAATCAAACCACCACACTCTAGGTTGGGGAGCACAGCAATATCCCATCTAAAAAAAAAACACATAAAAAAATAATAAAAAGTTATGGCTGAATTGTGTCCTTCCAAAATTCGTATGTTGAAGTTCTAACCCCCAGTACCTCAGAATGCATTTTGAGAGAGAATTTTTAAAGAAGTAATTAAGTTATAATGACATCATTTGGGTGGGCTCAATCCATGACTGGTGTCCTTCTCAGAGAGAAGATTAAGACACAGATACACGCATAGGAACAACCATGCGAAGACAAAGGGAAAAGACAGCCATCTGCAAGCCAAGGACAGAGGCTGCAAAAGAAACCAAGCCTGCTAACACCTTGATCTCAGACTTCCAGGCTCCAAAATTGTCATAAAGTAGATTTCTGTTGTTTCAGTCACCCAGTCTGTGGTATTTTATTATAGCAGCCCTAGCAAACCAATGCAAACATAATAACATTTTCTTTCTTATTCATCCACATATGATAAACTCTCTCTTAAAAAAAAGTAAACAAGGACCAGTGACCAACAGAATTGAAATTGATGTTTACTGTGCTAAGAAAGCTCACTGCTCAATATGGAAGCATAAAATGGAGAGACTCATGTTAGTTTTCATGTGCAGAATAAATGAGTCCATTTAAATCAGTAGTATGGAGATTTCTCAAAGAACTAAAAGTAGACCTACCATTTGATATAGCAATCCCACTACTGGGTATATACCCAAAGGAAAAAAAGTCATTTTATCAAAAAGACACTTGCACTAGCATGTTTACTGCAGCACGATTCAAATCACAAAGATGTGGAATCCACCCAAGTGCCCATCAATTCTTGAATAGATTAATAAAATGCAGTATAAATATAGCATGGAGTACTAGTCAGCCATTGAAAAAAATGATGAATTAATACCTTTTCTAACAATCTGAATGGAAGTGGAGACCATTCTCCTAAGTGAAGTATTGCAATAATGGAAAAACAAATGCCACATGTACTCACTATTAAATTGGAACTAACCAATCAGCACTCATGTGCACAGATGGAAGTAAAACTCAATGGAAATCAAGCAGGGAGGAGGGGGGAGGAAGAGATGGGTGAAATCACACCTAATGGGTACAATATACACTATCTGGGTCATGGGTACACTTATATTACAACTTTGACTTAAGCAGTACAATAACAATCCATGTAACCAAAATATCTATACCCTCATAACATTCTGAAATTTTTAAAACGTGGTATATACATATATACTATGGAGTACTACTCAGCCATAAAAAATAGTGAAATAATGTCTTTTGCAACAACTTGGATGGAACTAGAGGCCATTATCCCAAGTGAAGTAACTCAGGAATGGAAAATCAAATACCCGCATGTTCTCACTTATTGGTGGGAGCTAACCTATGGCTATGCATAGTCACACCGAGTGGTATAAGGGACACTGGAGGCTCAAAAGGGAGAAGTGGGGGGCGAGGGGATGAGGAATGAAAAATTACCAATGGGGTATAATGCACACTACTCGAGTGACGGGTACACTAAAAGCTCAGACTTGACCATACAATATATACATGTAACAAAACTCAACTAGTGTTCCTTAAATCTACAGAAAAAAAAATTTAAGTGCTAAAAAAAAAAAAAAATCAATCAAAGTGAAGACGATATGCATAATGGATGTTCATCAAACTTCATTCCTGAACAGTAAGGAGAAATAAAGATGAGACAAGATTTTTTCTATTTTAATTAACTAAAAAAACAGCTAAAGAAATAGGAGTTCAGAAGTAGCGTTAGAGCATTAAGGGACTACTTGGAGCACAGAGAAGAAGGCTGAGATGGTGGCACGGTGAGGGTCCAGGCAGGGTGCAGGGGACAAATGATCAGAGATCGAGAACACTACCCTGAGAAACAGCCCAGAATCTCCCTGAGCATTCCGAGGGAATATAAGCACTGTAACCTCAAATAATCGAAAGCTCTCTGAGATGTAAGAGAATTATCAAGTGGAAACCTCATGTTGCTACCCATATAAGAACAGAATCTATTGTGGCTGAGAGACTTTCCCTCAAGGGACACACATATTGAGTATGTAGGTTTTAAATAGCATCGCCCCAGAGCTTTATTAGTCCAATGCATTATGACCTATTGTTCAGTCGTTCTATTGTTTAGAATACAATTAAACATTTATAAACCGCTAAATTAAACTATTACTCAGTCCCACCAAGGAGGGGGAAATCCTCAGTTTCGAGTAAACCGATCTAAAAGCTTTAGAATCTGCAATAAACCCAACTCTTTTACGTATTTGTCAGATGTATCTGTTTTCCAGTTTCTTGCTTCAAGGAATTTACAGAAAGTCTAGCAGAACCAAGAGAAACACATAATTAAGTAAAATTAAACACATTCCATTTACACAGGTTAAATTAAACACATAATGAAATGTGT